GCTGCGCCCCTCCTCCAGGTCTGTGGCGTGCTGGGAGGAGGTAGGAGTCCCAGAGGAAGATGGGGGCTGGGACTTTGGGGGGGGGAGAGGGGAGGGAAGGCACACACCAGGGCTCCCCTCCGCTGCGGGGGAGGAGGTAGGAGTCCCAGAGGAAGATGGGGGCTGGGACTTTGGGGGGGGGAGAGGGGAGGGAAGGCACACACCAGGGCTCCCCTCCGCTGCGGGGGAGGAGGTAGGAGTCCGGAGGGGAAGCGTACACTGGGGAGGGGGGAGGAGTCCCGGGAGGAGGCTCTTGCCGGAGCTTCCCTCCTCTGGTGGGGAGGAGGGAAGGCACATATTGAGGATTCCCTGCCCCAGCCAATACCCTGCCTCCTGTTCCCAGTGGCACTCTGCTCCCACTGGCATCCTGTCCCCTGCCCCCTCCAGCATCCTGTCCCTAGCCCAGCACCCTGTCCCTTGCCTCCACTGACACCTTGTCCTCTGCCCCAAGCCTTTGCCCCGGAACCCACTGACCCTCTGTCCCATGCCCCAGCCCCCTGTCTCTTGCCCCAACATCCATTGGCACCCTGCCCCAGTCTCCTGCCCCAGCACATACAAGCACCCTGTCCTTGCTCCAGCACCCATTGGCACCCCACCCAGCACCCTGTCCCATGTCCGGTACCCCCAGTATCCTTCCCCAATACCATATCCCCTCCTCCCACCAGCACAGTTGGGGCCACATTAGTGAGGCTTGTGGGGGGTTTGGTGGAATTTTTATTTTGCATCTCACTTGTGTGGCCCCAACTGACTTTTCTGTGGGTCACTGATCCCTGACTCAAAACAGGTTCCCTGCCCTTCTCAGAAATAAAGACAATGCAGAAACTTTTTGGCTACGTCTACACTGGCCCCTTCTTCGGAAGAGGCATGCTAATTTCTAACTTTGGAATAGGGAAATCCATGGGGGATTTAAATATCCCCCGCGGGATTTAAATAAACATGGCCACCGCTTTTTTTCCGGCTTGGGGAAAAGCCGGAAAAGAGAGTCCAGACTGGCGCGATCCTCCGGAATAAAGCCCTTTTCCGGAGTATCTTTTATTCCTACTTGAAAGTCCTCCTTGAAAGTAGGAATAAGAGATCCTCCGGAAAAGGGCTTTATTCTGGAGGATCACGCCAGTCTGGATGCTCTTTTCCGGCTTTTCTCCAAGCCGGAAAAAAAGCGGCGGGCATGTTTTTTTTAA